GCTCACAGCTGCAGAGCAAATAAGCCAAGCAGCCCGTCTTTGCTTGGGCCACTTCTTTACCTCATCTATGCATTATCTCCTCTATCCACATCTGCAGCCATCAGCTGTATAATAGGTAGTCATATGTAAGGTAGGTCAAGGAGCTGTTTTAGAACAGGAAAACAGTCTGAAGCCTCTTGCTAAGCTGCAATGTGAAATCACACTCTTTCCTTTTCGCTCATGGTTATTGTTAATGCACATCCCCACCTTCCTGCTTTCTTATTTGCTCTCAGGCTCGCAGGGTTATGATGAATGGGACTATTTTATGGGAAGGGTTGCCACATGGGTCTCTCAGCCCGAGGTTAAAAACTGAGATATCGATTCAACTTATTTATTCAGACGTACAGATTTGGCAGGGTGAGTTTGTCTCACCACAGAGCTGTGTTCTTCTTTTGAACTTCCCCACAGTTGGATAGAGTATAGGATTTCTTCCACATCTGATCGCCTTTTGGTTTCACGGTATCTCGGTGGCTTTGAATAGATTTGGATGAAACTGCTTCGATGGAGGGTTCTCTGCCAGAGGTGTAAAACAAATTTTAATGGTGGTTTGGGGAGTAATTCTAGTTTTAATCCATGATATGTCCTGTGAAGTAGTTGCAACCATCTTAAAGAAGCACGTTAGAGACTCATTCAGTGTTTGTTTGGGGAAAAACAGGCACTGGAAGGATGTTTCGGCACACTCGGCCAAAACCTGTCCTTGTATTATCTGTTGAGTCGCAACAGATGGAAATGAAGGAGCATTTACATAACACTTTTGTCTACGTTACCACTGAAAGTGCTTTAGGCTACAAGCTATATTTCCCCATACGTTCATACTGTGCTTTAGTCTTTGCATTTTGGATGCAGAATATGCAAAGCTGACTCCCAAAAGGCCCACCTGACCAGGAGATTCAAACCCCGAACTTTCTCACTGTGACTGTAAGTGTTGTTGAACGGCTGCTGATGATTAGTGTGGTTTATTTAAAACATCCTTACCGGTAAATGCTGTCACCGTCAGCTTATTTATTGAGCTCTAAATTACAGCAGATATTTGACTATCTATGGACACGCTGTGGAAAGAGGGAGCAACGGAGGGCCAGCTTTCCAAAACATACAAACTAATGTCTCCTTTGCCCCATTTCCAGCCAGGGGACTGATATGATCTTACTGCTTATATTGTTTTGGACTAAAAACTAAGCAATCACTGTTGCTGTGTGGCCTCCTCCCCCTTCCTGGCTAGCTGCTATGTGTTGCACTGCTGCTAGGCTGTAATGTGTACAATGTTGGCTTGAACTCTGCACTCTGATGGGTTGCCAGTTATCTGGCAAGGCCGGTCAAACTCGGGGTTTTTATTTTTTCCAGGCCCTCTTCTCTCAGGATTGTCAACACTTCCTCTCTGCCCTGCAGTGATATGGAGAGCGCAGGTTAGGATAAGCAGGTTGACTGAATTTATCTTGTGTTGTTAGTCGGGATGTACAAACACACTCCTTCGTGACAAAGAGTCTTGAATGCAGAGTATTCTGTGACTATCAACAAGTCGCTCCGTGTTTTGCACAGATAAAACATTTGGCTGCGTGCACGAGGGTTAAATTAGGCAAAGCGGTCAAAGAAGGCTCAAAGCTTATAAAATTATATAGAGCCCAACCCCCCTTTAGTTCAAATGAAATCCCCCTCGACCTCCCCCCACTACTGCTCCTCCAACACCCCTGCTGCCAATTCACCCCCTCTCCTGCTAGTTGGTTCACTGTGGCGAGGACCAGCTGACCATGCCGAATCAGCAAATGTACACGGGTGTGTGTGAGAGAGAGACTTTGGCGGGGGGGTCAGAAGGTTTCATGCTGCGAGCGATGCGTTCGTGTATAATAAGTCCTGTTGGTGTGCGTGCTCCGTCACCGTCTCTCCCATGGCACGCTTCATGGAAAACGGAGGAGTGGTCTTCCACACAGGATTTACAGTGTGTGTCTGTGTGCTTGTTTTCAGTGCGAGGACGCATAATGGCAGAACATGAGTGTGAGTAGTAGATTGTCTTGGGTTGCAGTGACAGCTGGAGAGGACAAACACAATGTCTTTATACCAGCACCATTACCACCCCCCCTCAGCCTCCGGTGTTTCTCTAAGCTCCACGCGCTTTGCAGCTGAACGGACTGCAAGCCTCCATCCCTCCCTTCCTCCACACCGTATTACATTACACTGTCATTAGCTATGTTTTGCACTGACCCTGTAGCTACTATTTAGAGGTTTCTTTCAATCAC